GTAGGTAGGATGGGAAGGGAAATCGTTTCAGAGGTGGAAACGAAGAGGTCGTATCAAAGGAGGGAACTAGGGGGTTGTATTTTCCAAGAATTTCGCCCAGCAGCAGGAAGTGCCCTGGTTGGAATACCTTGACTACAAAGGTGTTCTTCTAATACCGTCACAAATTTATTACTTTCGGTTTGCAATAGCACCCTATAATTTCATTGAAATTATTTGAATTGAGGTCAATATCGGCGCAGTTTGCCGACGGGGGGGGGCATTTTGCACTGTTGCTTCACAGTTCTGGTTCCAAGTCTCACCCTGGTGGAACCTGCGAATTCTTGTGAAGCTGTGCTTCTCGTCTAGCCGTCATGATAAAATCTGTCAACTCGAGAAAAGCCTGTCTAGATGGGTCGACACTTCGATGGGAATTCGTGAAGGTGCAAAATGCCCCTCCCCCTCCGTCGGCAAATAGCGCCGTCAATATCAGTTAGTTTCGAGGGATGATTCCAGTTTTAATTTCTATCCAAAAACTTCCATTGAAGAAATTTAAGTGAGCAAATGGAAGTAGCAAAGCGGCCCAGAGGCTTTCCTCAAAAGTGTTTTAATTTCAAAATTTCAAAATGACATTGAGATTCATATAGGAGTTGGGTTCATACATTTCAGGGCCTTTCTGTTTATTCCCATGCGATATCGTTGGCACTTAGGAAGGTCAGTAATAGTTCTGATTATAATGTTGAATTAGCTCAAAAGTACTTCCCAAAAGGGACGGGGACGATGCAGTGCTGCCAAGTACTGCTTTCTCATTTGCTTGAATTCACTAAATTAAATTAAGTTATGATTACCAATAAGCTTAATTTGTAATATTTTTGATTTTTCGTAGCTACCCGATCACTTTCAGCTGAAGAAGCACAGTGTCGCCTGATCAGTTTTCGGATCAGACAATTCAGGGCGCAGAAATTCCAGTGATTAATGGTATCAGGTCACATCCCTATAAATGGCTACGCTCTCATCCCACCATGTCTCGCTACCTCTTGGGTCCTTCTGATACCAGGCTCTAGGTTGGATAATGAAAATTCTATTATTACATTTACAGTAGTCCTCTTATAATTTTGTAACTTACGTGGGCCTAAAAAGCCCACGATTCCTAGTGGAGGTCGAGAATTCACAGAATCTAGGCGACCTAAATGGGGGTGGTCGAATTTGGCTAGTCGCGATTGTGATTTTTTTTTCCTGTTCCAGTTTTGCTAAGAACTAAATGGAAGGTGGGGGAGGGGACTGACGTGCTTTAAAAAATTTCACGATGATATACCGTAATTTCAAAAAGCCTAGTCAGCAAACTTCAGGCCCTCCTTTGCCGTCTTCAAGTACTGAAGAAGACGTGAAGACGTGCGCAAGCGAACAAAATGGGTACAGTACTGACAATCAACTATCAGCTGAACTTTAACTTGCCAGGGAGAATCCCAAAGAGAACCTGACTCTGCTTACGGTCGCTTACTCCAATTTGGTAAAACCTATACTATATTTGAGGTTTAATGACAGATATCTTCTAAACTCTCTAAACAGGAGCAAGGTGAACTATTCAACAAAAGCTGATCTTCGAAATCGGAGCTCGGAACTTGAGAGGCTAGACAGAATTCATTCATCAGTTCTAAGGAAGTAATATGGTAGAATACAAGTATAAGAGTAGTACACGGCATATGAAAGGCAGGATCAGGTGAAAAACTGGGTTACCTGCTTCGCTGCTCAATTAAACATGATGAGTAACGTAGTAGTAGACTGGTAGAACGCAATGGGTATGCGCCAGTCACCACGCGCCCGTGCCGACACACTAATCAAAAGGCCGCCCTTGTGAATCACCGACTCTCAACGAGTAATACTTTGTGGGAACTATCCGGTACGGTTACTTCTATTACCCTGAGTATTTTTAGGGCTACGGAAGAAAGAGATAGCGCTGAAATTAGTGGGTCTGGATCATGGGAATAGGGATGAATCCGATGTGAAGGGTCACTATCACGGATAAATTCGATGTGGAGGGTCAACATTCTTGACCACAACTTCTTACAGTTGTTCCTAACTCGTTAAAAGGAGCTATTCCAGTACCAAACTACCTCTTACAATTTGAGTTTCCCACTGGAAGAACCAAAGAAGTATCTGTGAGATTATTCTCGAGCAAACCCCTACTTAGAGGATCAGTCATGAGCTCAAAGGGCTGTTTTTTGGTTCAAAAGATCATTTCAATAGAAAAATTTCTTTGAGCAGCAATGACGCCTTCCCAAATATTTATTACCGCTTTCTTCGGGCCATTTTGGCCTATTTACCTCATTATGTTCTTCCACAACGGAACTCACTAGTAGATAATGATCGCATCGATTGTAATTTGAATAACCTTTCAGTCGAATCAATTTTTCATAACTAAGTGGTATTTGACGTTTTTGGAATCTCATAGAAATGGACTTCGGCGTATGTCGTGGAAGTGTGTTCGTAATAAGGTCGACAGCGGTGAGAAGAGGGGGTCGCGGAACGATTCGCAAGGTCGTTTCATTCAAATAAACACTACCGGATCGATTTGGAGCTAAACCAATTTCAGATTACCTCAGATTAATTCCAAGTGGTCCAAAAGGTCCAACTGCTTTTTGAGAGCCTTACTAAAGCAGTACTGATCAAGGGTTTAAGTTGAACAGCCCGGAAATCGGAAGCCGTACGAGGGGCAGTTCAAAGTATTCTTGGTATCGTGGTAATTTACCAGAGAAGACGCATTTAAATAATTTCAATAGTAACGACAGTCTTTAGCGGTATAAATACCAAGTTTCATTTAGTTATTATCAATGCTAACCTAGTCATCCTTGGTGAAAGAAGACCAGCATGACTGACGCGACAATATGGAGAAAATAGGCTACTGACTAAAAAAAAACTGAGAAAATGGAAAGAAAATTGAGAAGAATGAAAAGAGAACTGTGAAAATGAGATTAGCGATTTCTTGTTTCCCACTCTAGAGAAGAGATCTTCATGGAAAGCGTTCTTCTGAAGATGGAGAGCTGAAGAGGGCAATAAATGCTTTTGGAGACAAGCAATAAAAATATTTCTAGAAGGTGTTGAAGAGTTAGTTTCCCGAGCAAGCAGGTGTACTGAGGTCATGGGACTACATTGGAAAATAAATTTTATTCAGAATTTTCTGCCTTCTTCATACCTATACCGAGAAATCCATGAACACCATATCATCAAGGGAAGTACTGCGCTCATCAATCCCATTTTTGCTTCATTTTTAATTTAGGATTCATCACCTCTCTCGAAAAATGCCCTACTACGAAATTTTTGAGAGTTTCCTATCGATTAGGATCAACCCTGTTGACTCTTTTTTATCTTTTTTTCCAATTCATAGAATTGATTCCTTACATTCCAATCATTTACCACTTGTGGAATGGCGCAGTGTTGAAACGGGAATAATTGAGTAATTGACTTACTTCTTAAGAAGGTTAGGAATTGGTTTTGCAGTTGAAAACAATGTCGGGGAACAATCAGATGCGGTATGTTTGAGGGCGGTCTCGTATCTCTCGACGTTTAGTGCTGATTTTGCCCTTATTCAAAACATTCATTTAAAATAAAGACAAATTGGTCATATAAGGTAGGCATGCACGACGAGAAATTGATTAAAGAATCTTTATTTGTGAATTCAATTGAAAAACGATTAAAGCTTGGATAACCCATTCGCTGGAGAGGACGGCTTGCGTTCGTTAGTACTGACAGTGCGACCGATTCCAACTCAGGAGGGAAAGCTTCCAGATCGAACTGAACATTCCAAGACCCATCCCATCAAAAGTATTTTCCAGCGACTGTCACAGAATTGCTTTCAAAATTCGACGAATATTTCTCAGAATGGAGCTATAGAGGTTTTTCACTGCGTTGTCGTGCTAAGGCTCGGGTGCATCAGAACCGCTCAAGTACCCAATAAACTTTTTTTTGTGCCAAAAAACTGTTGGATTCATGTTCAGGGCTCAAACTACCTCTGAAGATGGATTTGTAACCGACTCGCAAATTATGTCAAGAATTCAGAAGACTCTATAGATATGTGGCTCCTAGCCACCACAGCTAAAATTACTCTGACGATGTGGCTCGTAGGCGTAAGGCACGATAATTTGATACTTGTTGAAAATTAGCAGCAAGGATGGAAGGGGGAAGTGAGTGACGAAAAAGCGAGGCAAAAGGCTAAAAACCTGCGGAAAAGCCTCTGTTCTGCACGGCACTGGACGAGCATTCTTGGACGAGTTTCTCGTTCGCATCGTGTCAAAAACCGCCTCGATAGATATGCACCTATGGGCTCATATAACCATGTAGCAGAGTCGACGAATGACAGCCGTATGCAGCTAGTCCATAGAACACTCGTATCCCGAAGATGGAAAGGGCGTGGCCATGTACTCCTTCAAGGACGAGGGGCGTTTTTCAAGTGATATATTCGCTAGGGCAAGTGCCATCTTGTCCTGCACTGCTCAAAGGTAGGACTGCAACTGGCTCAAAACGATGCTATCCCACCAGATGCGCAGCCGTCGCGGCGCTTGGATGAAGTGCGCGACCACGCCCACTGCTTCTCCGGGATATGAAGTGTACTGCTACCGTGAGCGCATGGACGGTCTTGTGCTGCATCCTGCTCCTCGCCACGGTACTGAGAGTGCCCACATTTCTGCTGGGCTCCGCTGACTGGTGCGTTACTCGAATCGTGTCCACGTCGTGCCAAAGAGAACTTGGCTGTGTCTCACAACTTTACAAATAATTACTCCGAACTTCACGCATTTACAGTTGAAAGGATTTTATTGTTAAAATCGCATTCAAAGGTTGTTGGGATTCCTGAGGTTTATACATAACGTGATATTGATCTATGGATCAATATTCAGCAATGGTACATGTGCGATAGGCTTCAAGTTCCTATTAATTATAGCTGGCACATTACTGTCACATAAATACGCAAGTATTAATTAACATAATTAATTGACTTGATCAGTCATCGGCTCTGCGACGATCGCACATTATCTTCGTCCAAAGAACTGCGAAAAAATATTCGTGGATGGTTGTGGTCGCTCCGGTTGAGCGCCACTCCTCATTAAAGCGTTGAAAACGGCTGAATTAAATCGAAATGAGTGGAAGATTTTCGTGAAATTTCAATTCGTTACAGGACCTACCGTCAATATTTTGCGCATTTCCACCTGCTAACTGAGGATTGAGCAACCTTTCTAATGGAGCTGGTGCTGGTGTTGTTGTTGTCGTTCGACGCGTTACACCTGAATGATCAACGCTTTTTTAACCACTCAGACAATTTGTGTTATGCTCTCGCAAAAGCTTTTTGGGTATTACCCACGTGGATTGTTCACTCACTCTGGCTCTCTTTTTTTAGACTCTGTTCCGCTCCTATCACTCAATATTACGTTAACAGGTGCTATCTCTAGCTTAAACCTTCAGGATTGCAGTAAAAGATGCACTGCCCAATACTGGTTCGATGACTCATTTGCAGTATTGACAAAATTTGCAATACATAAAAATTCCACCATCTAGTTGAAACAAGAATGAATATAGTCTGCGGATAGTGCGTGTAAAGTCAAAGTGATTGAACCCCTGACGAGTATCCCCTGAGTGGCCCTTGGCACGTCACATCCATGTCACAGCACTGCGTACTAACTAGCAGAGTATCCCCCAAGTATTAGGGTGTCAATAAAGTTCGTTGGCCATTTGTAAACAGCGTCGCGTTACGCAACGCGTTGTGATTTTGCATAAAGATTTCGCAATACTGAAAGTACTCGCGATGGGCTATCTTCTGAGCTAGCTAACTCTGAATTTCCTTTCCTGCTCTTCCCACAATAAAGCAGTGAAGATGAGAAATAGCCCCCCCCACCGCCGATGTTTGCTGGACTGCTACAACCTGGGCATCTCCAGACGTCAGGCCACGACAAGGATGCGTCAGCAGTTTGGCGATAACACCCTTCTAAGAACTGGATGTCAAAATGGTGGCTCGCCTCACCAATGGAAACTATGGCATCGAAGATATGCCGAGGTTTCTGGTTCTCTCGCCACGGCGTCGTCCACTACAGCATCCGACCCAACAATGCCACAGTGACGGCATAGACCCTCTCTAAAGAATTGCAGGAGGTCAAGGTGAAAGCTGCCGCCTTGTCCCAGAAACTTGCAAATCCGTGGTTGCTCTGGGACAACGCGCGCCCCCACGAAGCGAGAGATACTCAGGCCGTCCTGGACAGGCTGGGCATCAAGACGGTCACGCATCCACCGTATAGTCCGGACATCAGTCCATGCGATTACCACATCCTCCGGTCCATGCAAAATTTCTTGGACGGAAAACAGCTGAAGAAGGAGCGCGACCTCGAGGACGTGATCGAGGACTGGGCCGAGTTGCGGCCGGCCGGCTTTTGGGAGGATGGGTTGCCTCTCTACCCGATCGTTGGCGAAAGGTGGTTGGTATGCATGGAGATTATATCATGGACCGGTAAGTTCAACTTGGTGAGTTATCTTTACAAGCTCTGAAAAAACGAATGGCCAACGAACTTTGTGGACACCCTAATAGCTGACTCGAAAATTGCTACAATTCCACGTAAATCAATTAGATCCCGGTTATGACGCCACGCAAGTGAAGCCTCTTTCGCCACAAAAGCATGATGCTGCCTTCGTACTTTGCGGGAGCGTCTGCCAGCATCTACCAGCGTCTACCAGCGTCCCCCAGCGACTGGGAGTAGAGAGTATGGGAAGTAGGAGGGTAGCAAACAGCTGGATTGAGCGTTGTGAAGTTACGCCTTGTCCAACCGCACTACACAGCTGCCAAAGCATACAATCATGCAATTTATTGTACGGTCTAGTGTAGTGTAAGGTGCGGTTGTAATCCAGCTGTTTGCTACCCTACTACTTTCTCCATACTCTCGACTCCTGGTAATGGTGAGCGCTGCTGGACGCTGGTAGATGCGCACACGCTGCCGCAATGTATGAACGCAGCATAACATTCAACCACCCTTGTCACGGAAATCAACTAACTCATCCATCCTTTTATGCCCTCGCGACGCAAGTGCGCTGTCACGCCACGGATATCATCTACCAGGCACTCTTTTTTCTCAAACCTTGCCTTCTCATACCGGAAGTCTTTGAAGTCGAGGAAAGGACGGGCTGCTCTGGGTAGAAGTTCGAATTCTTGTACACCGTCTCGCTCCTGCGGATGATGGGGCGCGTCAGCGACGCTGGGTTTGGCGTACTCTCATCCGGTTCTTTATCAGCTGTTCAAGCGAAAGAGCGACAGTAGTTGATAGAAAACGGCTGTTTCTAACGACATGACACAATTTTCCTCTTGCCGAAATGAAAAAGGGAACGGACTGGCACCACGTTGAGCGGTCCCCTCTTGACCCGCCTCATCCGCAACGAGCAAGACTGCGTGGCCGACTCCGAAGAACCGGATAGTAAATGAGCAGTTGAGAATTGAGTTCTGTAGTTGGAGTTTTGTGGTTAAGTCGACGACGCGTTTGGACTCAGAAATTTCGGTCTCCGAGCTAATTTAAAAGTGGCAAGATCATCAGATCCGCTTGAAACTTGTATATAGAGGTAATGCAACATCCTGATCACGAGTATGACATACATTTTTGGCGCTGGGGCTAATGGATAGCACTACGGCTACCTACGCTCTGCTAAGGCTGAGCCCAGGAGGTAATCGCAGTGTCCTCTCTTGGCGCTAGCGCCAAGAATGAGTGTCATACTCGTAATCAGGATGTTGGATTAACCTTATATACAAGTTTTTAGTGGATTTGGTGGCTTAGGCAATTTGAAAATGAGCTCGGAGCCAAAATTTCTGGAGTCCAAACGGCATTGGCCGTCGGCGACACATGACCTTTTCGTCCCTGCCCGCTTTGTATTCAGGAATTGCATGATCCGTGCAGGCAACAGTTAAGAAAAACAAATTACATCCGTTTGTTGCCGAAAGAATTGCTCGTGAATAGGAGCAAAACCGATAGTAATGGGCGTCTCCCTGGTATATCTCTTTCTACGGCGCCACCAACTTCAATATCCTATAGGAGTTCCTCGGAGGTTTGCGCTCCCGATTTTCGTGAATTGTGCTGTTGCTTCCATTAGCGGGAGCGTTCGCAGAGAAAGCAACCTTTTTGAGTCTTCTAGGGCTCAAGCCGATGATATCATACTTCGTACTCACCGAAAAGTTCCCACAAATTGATCTGACCAATATTAGACGAAGACGATGGCTGTCGTTGTTGAGGTTGGGGTGGTGGTGCTCCTGGAAAATTTCTTGTGTCTTTTGCAGAGGTGCATGAAAACATTTTCAGTTCAAGCTCAACTTCATTCAGAACCGATGATTGACGTGAATTGTTTTGTCAAAGCCTATTAGAGCATTATTTCGGTTTACGCCTCGGCTGCTACGCATTACCCCATGTTAGCGTTGGTTGTCCATATCGCAAGGAAATCCCAACTCTCGTAACAAATCCAGTTCTGCAGTCGGTGATCTTAATTAGACTTAGCTGCCACTGCTCTTCTGGTTCTGACATACCGTTTCTTTTCGATGAATCCGGTATTCCGGTTTATAATGCTGGTGATGTGGTGGCAAATAGTGACGCTTACCCCACTTACGGCCCTGGGTTTGAGCTCAGATCGGCTCACTAAGGTACTAACTATGCCCTTCATGGCTCAGGAGCCAGTAAACAGGAATTTCTGATGACAAAAACACTGAATTACCACCGTAAGCCATTGCATGGGCCAAATCGCATTTCACACGTCACACCGTCTCAGAACAGTAGGAGAATGCATGGCGCACCCCAAAAAAGACTGCTGGGCGCACTTCTTTTGAGTTTCTATCCTACGTGTGGTTTCTATGCTACGTGTGCAACTGCCAGCCTTTGAATACAAACTGGGCGCGCAGTTCGGCGACGGGGAGGGGGGGCATTTTGCACTTTTGCTACTTCCTAACGACGTGTCGAGTCACCTAAAGAGGTTTTCCATGAACTTACAAGAGTTGGCAAGTTTTCCCATAACGGCTCCACGAGATTGCTCCAGCTTCACAAGAGTTCACAAATTTCATTAGAGTGAGACTTGTAAACCGGAACTGGAGGAGCAGCGAAAGTGCAAAAATCCCCCCCCCCCGCCCGTCGCCGAACTGAGCCGACAATCTGTACACTCATACCGGTGGATCCGGGTTCTTGTCATTTGTGAGGTGAGTGAGTCTAGTCCAGTGAGCCGCAGTGCGTGCCACTTTCTCCGTTCAGTGCGCAAGGAGAAGAGGCTAAGCGTAGTAGTCTTCGGTCTCCGTACTCGCCCCGAGTTGACGCACTGATACCCACCACCTATCCATGGCCAAAATGCTGCCTGCCTGCGCCAGTTCTGGTTGTTGTCTACGGTGTGTGGGCGTTTAACTGCAGGAATTCTCATCTTCTTCGAGCAATCAGCCCGTCAACAACTTCTTAACTTTGTTGACGCAAGAGCTGCACTTTGAGCACTAACGCGGGCAGAGCTGGCACCCAGGTATCGTATCCTGCAGCCTTGTACCCTCGCAATTATGAGTGGAGAAAGTGGCAAGCTGCCGCAGCTTTGGTTCTTTTCATCTCGCTCATGGAAAGGACCATGATCAGTCTTTCCCATCAGCGAGGAGAAAAATCCCCAGCCGAGGTGAGTGTACGGTTGGCCTTTGAAGGGTGACGTGATAACAACTCTAGGGAAAATTTGTTATGATCAAATCTGAGGTTGTGAATACTCTACCTAAAAGAGATCCGAAGAAGTTCCCTTGTCGAGGTCGCGGTGTAGGTGGAGTAGGGAGAGGTTCCGAGTCATCCACTGAAGATCCTGAAACGAGTGATTGAGATTATACTTACTAATTTTTTGAAATTTCGATGTAAAATTGCTCCCCGTAGCGAAAGCATTGCCAGTATCTGTAAAAATAATTCAAATACAAAGCGAGTGAAATATTTTTTTCATTGTTATTGTTGCTATTATTATAAACAAAAAGTAGGATGGAAGGTATTCCCCTTGTATATTCAAAGTATTGATTCGTCCTTCAGTGAAAACCGAAGCACTTCCTTGGACGAGTGGCTCCTCGACTACACTTTGTTACAGTGAGGGCATAACTAATGACTGAAGATGTTTTTTTGAACTTCACTGACTTTGTTGTTTTTTTCCGTAGGAAAGAATGGGCTCGCTCCACTAATAGGTTTCGGTTTTTTGGCCCTCCCTCACCAAAAACCCAGCTCCTATCTGCGGTGGATGAAAACTTATACTGTACTCTCCATGCATCATGAGCTGAAAAAGATAATGGATGAATCAAAAAGCAAGAGGATCGTCGTGGAAGGTATCAGATCGCTAAAAAATTGTTCTTTTTCTCATCCTGGTTACGAGACCTCTACATTTACAGAAGTTATCAGAGCTCGATTGGAATCTCTTTTTGCATTCATCCACCGCATACAATGACGGGACCAAGTGCCAGCGCTACCAGTTTGTAGACCTGGGTGTATAGTGCACGAAACTGGTTGCTCTGGAGCGTGTCAAAGGGTGGACTGAAGACCCACCGCAAGCTGCATTTTCTACCAGTAGTTGCAAACCGAGCAATGCAGTCTTGTTCACCGCGGATGACGGTGCGTGTCAAAGGGAGATGGGTTTGGCACAGCATCAACCAGTTTTTCTTCCTTTTTTTTCTTTTCGGTAAGCGTTGTATCATTCTTATCAGTCGTTTTCCACCACCTCTCGTCGCTTGCCCGCTTCAACAATTGGAGGAGAACGCGCCGGCAGCTGGCCAAATCCAGCCTCACCGACACGCCCTATTTTCCGCAGAGAGCAAGACTGCACCACTATCGGTAGAATGTGGGACTGCTGCTAGGGTACGGTACACCCCTTTTACCCGTCCCGTCAGTTTTATGCACCATAAGTCTGGAACTTTTGATGGTTACGAATGTCATCTGGAAATGGCAAACATTTAGCAAACAATTTTTTTGAATTCGGTCTGTTTCTTCATCCAAAATTTTACATTGTCTAGTCATTCTGGAAAGTGACAAGGATTCCCTGGAAAATCCAGTAGTGGACATACAGTTCTCATCATTGCGGACCATCGGAGGCGGCGTGAGCAGCGCGGTTCTAGACCGCGTTCGGCTCCCTTGCTCTACCAATGGCGATGAAGTAAAAATCGATTTAGGAAGGCAACAACCAATGAGGAAACGTCCCATGTGAGAACCGCTGAGTGCTATTCGACAGCTGTGATATTGAGTGTACTACATTGGTTCATAAAGCGACATGGGCAGTATCATTTCCTAATTGCATATTTTATACGCAACACTTGTCCCCGGATAACATTCCCTTGAGAGTTATAGCGCCTTTAGTTGATCTACTGCGATATAGCTATTGAAGAACATTGTAGCTGTGCAAGTGACAGTGTAATTCTTTTCCCTCACTCAGACAACTCTTTCGTGGAAATGCTGAGAAATGAAAATAAAAATCGCAGTATATCTCAACCGCCAAAAAGGTCCGCGAAAAGAATTAATACCCGTTGCACAGGGGTTAATTGCTTGTAACTTGTAACCATACCACATTTCCATAGACGTCTACTGCACCTCAAATCATCGCCAGATGTCCTATTTTTTATCTTTAAAGGAAAAAAAGAGTCCGCACCCAGCAAAGAAGAAATAGGCCTTTTCTTTTTTTTGTAGATTTTCGTAAGAGCTTCAGCTTGTTTTCCGGGCTGTGGGGTCGAAAGCAACTCGGCGAAGCATTTCTGAAGGTTCACACAGGGAGGCTGAATTATTACTGATGAGTACAGAGGAGGGAATCTTGTTCACTTCCCGTCAAACAGCACGTACGGAACGGAAAGTGAACTGCTTCTTTGAACTGACCCCCTTAATAAACCTAATTGAATGATAAAATAACCATCCCCAAAATAAGTTCGTTAGAAATGGGATATGGGAAATGGGAAACAATTACAATGAATTTCCGGTAGATCATATGTTTACAGTTTATGAAGAGGTTTTGGCCCAAGGCGGGATCGAATCTGAAACTCACGTCTACTGGGCGA